ATGATGTAATGGTTGCATCTCTGGCCTCCCGTGTAGTTGACCGCGATTCAAGTCTGGACCTGGTGTCTAGAAACTCATGCTGGGCATGTGTGTGTGTGTCTGTGCTCAAAATCCTGAGGGGAAAATGGAGGAGAAGGGATTCCATTGTGACCATCTCCCCTGGAGGGTGATTTCTCATTTTCTATCTCTCTTTCTCTCCAGTGAGTGCACGCTCTCTTAGAAAAAGAAAACAGATCTGAAATGTTGTATTTTGGAGGATTCTGTTCTTTCTCTCCTCAGCACTGGTAGCATTAATTATATTTCCGTGTGTTCTGTTGTAAAGTCTCAGATACTCAACCCCTGGAAGGTAAAACCAGTATTATTGGAGAAAAATGTATCACTTCCAAGAGCATGAAGTTGGTAAATTCCCACAACTCCATTGCCTCTCTTCTCACCAAACCATCTTCAAAACTTCCCCATCTCTGATTCTGATCCCACTGCTGGGAATGATAGGGAGACGTGGTCCTCATCCCTAAGACTTATGACCCAGTGCCCTGCTGATGGCAGCCACTAGTTTTTCCAAGACTGCATATAATCCATGCCCCTCCTCTGTCCATTAGACAAGTCATTGAGACCTTCCATCCAGTGCCACCATGACTAATCATGTATTTATTCATAGCCAAGTGGCTCACATCAATTTTTGGTGTGTACCTGTCTTGGGATTGCCTCTAGCATGGATTTGTGTCTTGGTCCTGCAACACCGAAGAGAGTCCAAAATCACATCCTTATGTGTGTCCCACTCAAGGATCAGCTGATACAAGCAAAACGGCACGCTACTGATTGCTCTTCTAAGACGCAAAGACAAATACAAGGTATTAGGTCATCGGGAAAGTCATGGTATATTTTTCCATTTTCCTATGTGAAAATTCATCATGGCTTCCCTGATGACGCAATCAAATTGAGAAAGATGTTGGTTGAACAGTCTGTGTAAGTGGATGAGTTAACCCCTCTGGGCCTCAATTCCCACCACCTGCATCTCAGAAGCTCTTTCTAACTTTTATGAATGAGTGTTCTCTTTAGTCCATGCGTTTATTCTTTCATTTATTCCTGGAGCAAACATTGATGAGTATTTACTAAGCATTAGGCTCTGGGACAGGAAGACATAATCCTACTCTTAGGGAGCTCCTAGTCGAGTGTAAGAGAAGCCAATGAAATGGCAAGAACATACATTACTACAGGCTGAAGTAATGGACAGTCTTATCCTAGAATGGAGTTTGACCTCCCCTAAAGTTTGCTTTTTACATCACCTCCCTAAAGCGTCAGTGGTGACTTTGTCCTTGGCACTTGCTGAGGCTCAAAACCCTGTGGTCATCCTTGACTCCTCCCCTTCTCTTCCTCCCTTCCTTTCTATATTTAACCACCTGCAAAAAGGGTTAGAACTGTTTCAAACATGGTTAGCATCTGATCACCTCTCCTCACCTCCATTGCTACTATACAGGTCTGAGCCTGGGCTGTGCTGTGATCGTCTGTCTCTGCCCATTCTTCCTCCAATCTACTTTCTCTCAGTCACTGGGAATAATCCTAAAGCAGACACTAGATCTGTGCACTCACCAGAGAGAGAGAGACAAAGAAAGAGATAGAGAGAAAGCAAGCCACCAGGTCTGAGACTCAAACTGTGGTTGGCCATGTAGGAGTCCAGAGCCTTAACCACCATGCCACTTGTTGGCCCCCACACACTGTTATTTCTACCACATTGTATTCATTAAAAAATGAGTCACTAAGCCCATTCAAAATTCAAGGGGAGAGAAATTAAGCTCCATCTTTTAATGTCAGGAGTGTCGCAGAATCTGTGAACACATTTTATGTCACCACAAACTTCAAAGATAGTCCCTAATCCTTCAAATCTGCATTCCCTTGGGTCTCCGCAGGAAGGCTTTCCTTGATTACAGTAATCAAATCTCCCTCCTGTTTCTCAGCCCTGTATGCTGCTTTATTCGCATCACAATTTATTACCATTCGACAATGGTAATAAAGCTTTGACTTGCTTAAATGTTCAGTACCTGTTCCTCTGTCTAGAATGTGAGCTCCAGGATCACAGGGGATGCGTCTGTCTTGTCCACTGCACCTCCACACCTAGAGCTAGCCTGGACACCTTGTAGGCATTCAGGGACTTGGAGTCAATGAATACAAGTTAGCCTGGGCCAGGACAAGTATTAGAAGCAAGCCTTACCTATTGATGATGGCGTGTATAGTATTCTCAACTGGACAGGTCTAAGAAGTATTTCATGTTAGGTAAAGTCTTTTTACAAGCAAAATGATAAATAGCAATTGAATGTTTAAGAAGTAATTGGAATAATAATAATCTGGAAAAAAAAGAAAAGTTATTGGATGATGATGATGGGGATTTTATTCTTTTTTTTTTTTTTTAGAGGGTTTTTCTATAGGATGCGGGTGCTCCCCACAC